ACACATATCATGAATATTTAAATGATGACCAACAATCTCTTTTACTTTTTCAACAAAACCTTTAGATTGTAACCACCAATTTTCAAACTTAAAATAACTCTTCTTAAGATTAGTGTCTGTCTAGATCCTTCTTGTAGTAATTTTAATATGTTTTGTCTTTGTTTTGCACAGAGGTTGTGCAAAACCAAAATGTAGAAGGTTGTGAAGAATTAGTCCATAGGTGACCCACGAAGGCCATTGAGAGACCGTAGGTGGTGACCGTCGTTTGGAGGTTCAAGCATCTGGAAGCAACTCGGGGAATTTTGACTAAGTGAGGGGCTATGAAAGGATCGACGGTCCGCTGACTGATCGACAGACCGTCCTGTCAAAATGTCGATCCGATCAGAAAATGTCCCAGTACCCGATATTGAAGAAAATCTAAGTATGAAATGACGGGAAGTATCGACGGATCGTAGGTGAATCGATGGACCGTGTTGTTGGTCAGTCGATTGGATCAGAGAAAATGCAAAGTGAAGGATGAGAAAAGATGCTAAGTATGGACTTACGAGGAAATCAATGGTCCGTTGTTTCAGCGACGGACCATATGTGGGGGTCGTTGATTGAACACATGTTTTGGACAAACTTTCGTTATTTGAATTCCATTTAATTAAGGACTCTGTCTTTTTATAAATATTGTGTAAAACCTCGTTTTTGGGGTTGGATTATATTACTAGTTTCTTAGTTTTGTTCTTGGAGATTTGTCTTTGTATCTTGGGCATTAATTCAAATTTCCGGATATGGTTTCTAAGATAATTGTTGGTTTTAAGTTGAATTTCTGGATTTTCTTCGAACTTGTCAAAGTAAGTTCATGATTTATTATTTATCAACCATGAATTGTGTTCTTCTATGCATGGTTAACTAAATCCACAACAGGGTTGTAGGAACCATGTGTGATTAACAAAATAAACCTAGCTAAATGACAATTCTTAAATATGTTATTGCATGCAACGAGTGCATGCGTTAGAACTCCCCATATTGCTACTTGCCGGACTAAGGGGTAGTTAATAGGAAAAGAATTATCGACATAGATTTAGTGGGGTACAATCTAATACGCTCATTTTGATTGGTGAAAAGTAATAACTAAGTCAAACATCAAATATGATGCTTAGTATGAAGTAAATGTAAGGATTAGTAACTTAGACACACGTAGCCGGACCAAGGTAAGGGGTTAAATTCTTTAAATTCCAGACCAAGGATTTAGAGATACACAACTTATCACTTTGCATGCAAAACACTAGGGAAGTACCGTTGTAACTAGGATTATGGTCTTATGAACCTATGAGGAACACTTACAACCTAGTTTCTCTCACAACTTGATAAACACCAATAATTCCCTCTTGCTACTTTTTTGATTTCACAATATTACAATACTTTTGTTTCATAAAACCCCCCTTTAATTACTAGTTTTCGAAAAGGACTTTACTAAATAGAAGTAATCGTGCATTCAAGGTAAGTCTAAACCATTTTCCTCGTGGGATCGACCTTAAAATAATAGTTGGGTTGTTTACTTGATACGACCGCTTATACTTCTTTAGGGAAGTGTAATTTGAGCGTATCAAATTTTGACTCCGCTGCCAGGGAAAGTGTCTTTTACATTAACTTTAATAACAATTACTGAATTTTAGTCAACAATTTCCTACTTTTACTTTTTTTATTTTGTTTTTGTTTGTCTCAGGTCTAGATCTAGTGTATGCCAAGTACACGGAGCTGAGTAGAACCGACGCTTCCATTCAATCCTAAACTTAACCGGACACTCCTTAGAATTAATAATCAATAGAATCCCACAAATCTAGGTGATGGGATCAACCGTCAGCTCCTCCACCGGTTGATTCTCACAACCAGGTGATTGTAAAAAACCCTGGTGATGATACTTTGAGGAGGATATCTCCCTTCCTACGCCCATAAGAGTTCTATAGGGGCAACATCAACATCACTGATTCTAATGGGCCTCTTGTCCTAACTCCTCTACCATAGGGTCACACATTCGTTGTACTAGTAGCTTGATGCAGATGCTCACCGCTAGAGGTTTGTTTTCAGGGCTATGATATAAGGATCCACATGCTCATATTGCCAAATTGAGGTCGGTGTGCAAGAGTTGTGTAAGGAGGCCAGCTTTGGATATGGATGTCATGGGGTTAAGAGTTTTCCCTCTCTCACTGATGGGAGAGGCCACAATATAGTTTACTGAGTTGATCTATAATTCAATCTATACTTTGGACTAGTTGAGGGATGCGTTCCTAGCACAGTTTACCCAGTGTCTAAAAATCTCAACCACAAAGATAGAGTGAACGACTTTGTGTCATTACTCGGGGAGTCAATGAGTAGCTCTTGGGATAGATTCACCTCATTCGTGAGAAGTGTCCCAAACCACCACATTAATGATGAGTCGTTGAAAGAGTACTTCTATCGGGGGCAAGATGATAATAATAAGGCAGTGCTTGATACTATTGCGGGGGGTCATATGGTGAGTGCACATATGCAGAGATCTTAGAGAAGTTGGAGAAAATCTCTCGCAACAGTAAGGCTTGGAGCACTAGGAGGTCAGACACTAGGAGAAACACCTTTGCAGTACAAGTTACACACAACCTGGCCCCAGATGAGATTCATGAAGAGATGGCTCAAATGAGAACTGAGCTTGGGTTGATATTGAAAATATCACTAGAGGTGTAGAGAAGGTGAATGCGGTGAATTATTTGACTAAACCACCACCACCAGTGGATGACTACTACTATGAAGAGGATTCTTATGCAGTGAATGCGCAGATGGGGGGTTTCCGACTGAAGTCCCAAGGCTCCAATAAGGAGAATTAGCGCCAAAGGTCAAGGAAATCAAGGTCGGAACTATTGGAATTACAACAGAAAGGGCCATTAAATTTGAGATGGAAACTACAACCGCGATAACAACTTCAATCGGGGTAACTATGGTAACAGAAACGAATGAAGTGGGCCCTCTGTTCCGCCTCAAAATTAGGAAGTAGATCGTAGGGATGGTGGAGGTAGTATGGCGTGAGTGGAAGATATGTTGCAAAAGATGAGGAGGAGGTTTGATTCTAGTGATGAGCACGCTAAGGAGTTGAGAGGTGATTTGGCTAATATAGGGCAAAAGGTGGATGCACATGCAGTCTCAATCATGCATCTTGAGTTGAAAATGGCCCAGTTGTCTACTACTGTGAACCCACGTCAGCTGGGCACTCTTCCTAGAAATACCATTCAGAATCCAAAAAATGATGGACATTGCATGGCAGTCACGACTCGAGGAGGTAAGCATACCATTGATCCACCCATGTTGTTTATAATAGAAGATGAGGTGAGAAAAGATGAAGAGGTAGTCAAAACTAGTGGTGAATTAGCGGACAAAGCGGTAAAAGAAGCAGAGGTACCCCAAAAAGTGATCCCCATTCCTAGACCACCACCACCATTCCCTCAAAGATTGGTGAAGATAACTAAGGATGGTAAATACCGGCACTTTATCACTATGTAGAAATAGATTTCAATCAATGTCCTTTTGATAAAAGCTCTAGAATAAATTCCTGGTTTTGCCAAGTTTATGAAAATATATTTACAAAGAAGAGATCGGTATGTTTTGAGGATGATGACCGAATGCAGTATTGTACTACTATTTCTACAAGGTCTCTTGTGCAAAATAAAGAAGATTCGTGCGCTTTCACTATTCCATGTACCATCGGTTTGTTACAATTTGTTAAATCACTATGTGATCTCAGTGCAAGCATAAATCTCATGTCTCTCTCCATATATAAGAAATTGGGTTTGGGTCACCTAAAGCGCATTGCGATGCAGTTACTGATGGCCGATCGAACAGTGAAGAGGCCTATTGGGATACTCCATGATGTGCTAGTGAAGGTGAAATCGTTTATATTTTTGACCGATTTTGTGATTCTTGACTGCAAGGTGTATTTTAAGGTGCCTAATATTCTTGGAAAGTCGTTCCTTACTAGTGCTCGCGCCTTAGTTGATATGGAAAAAGCACAGATGAAGTTTAGGTTTAATAATGAAGAAGCAACTTTCAACATTTGTAGGTCCAAGAAGCAGAGTGGTGAGCTCCAAACAGTATCTGCTAAATCCTACAGGTTTGAGAGTACGTGAGGTACAAATTGAAGAGTGCTTTGGTGTTGAGGCACTAGCGTCAATGATCATGAATATTGAGAGTGATGATACAGAAGAGTATGGGTCATTGGCTGTGGTACTTGAACGAGGTGAATTTTGGTTCAAACCAAAGAAATTGGAGTTAGATATGAAATATCGCGAGTCTCCAACCGCGAAACCATCTATTGAAGAGGCCCCAAAATTAGAGCTTAAGGATCTAACACCTCATCAGAGGTATGTATTCTTGGGAAGAGATGCCTCTTTTCCAGTAATTAATCGAATCAGATTTGAATGTGCAATAAGTAGAGTGTTTGGTTAAAGTTTTGAATAGGTTCAAACGGGCCATTGGATGGACTATTGCGGACATTATTTGGATCTCAGCCAGTATTTGTTCACACAAAATTCAACTCATGCCCGACCATAAGCCAAGTATTGAGAACCAGAGACATTTTAATCCACCAATGCAAGTGGTAGTGAAAAAGGAGAGCATTAAGTGGTTAGATGCCGGAGTCATATATCCTATTGCTGATAGTAGTTGGGCATGCCCCATTTAGTGTGTGCCTAAAAAGGGGGAAATGAAGTAGTACCCAATGAAGAACGAGCTTGTTCTAATGATATCGGTGACTGGATGGAATGTCGGTATGGATTATCAGAAATTGAATGCATGGACTGAGAATGACCATTTCCTTATGCCCTTCATGGACCAGATGTTAGATAGGCTCTTAGGAAAAGGATGGTGTTGTTTTCTTGATGGTTACTCGGGTTACAGAGGATCAAGACCTTTACTTGCCCCTATGGGATAATCGCATTCAAGAGGATGCCTTTTGGGTTGTGTAATGCACCTGCTACTTTTCTGAGATGTATCATGTCGATATCTCCGATATGGTGGAGAAAACTCTTGAGGTGTTTATGGATGACTTTTCAGTTGTTGGCGACTCTTTTGATCGTTGCTTGAGTCACTTGAACAAGGTTCTCAAAAGATGTGAAGATTGTAACCTTGTGCTAATTTAGGGAAAATGTCACTTCATGGTGAAAGAGGGTATTGTATTGGGCCCTCGCATCTCAGATAAGGGTATAGAGGTTGATCGAGCAAAAGTTGAGGTTATAGAGACATTTTCTCCACCTATCTCTATAAAAGGTGTGAGAAGTTTTCTTGGTCATACGGGCTTCTACAAGAGGTTTATTAAAGATTTCTCAAAAAATTCACATCCTCAGTTCAAGTTACTTGAGAAGGAATGTTAATTCTATTTTGATGAATCTTGTCTGAAGGTATTTGGAGAGTTAAAGGAGAAGTTGGTTTCTGCGCCCATAATTATTTCCCCAGATTGGAGTAATCCATTTGAGGTGTGTGTGATTCTAGCGGGGTGGCTCTTTGTGTGGTATTGGGACAAATAAAGGATAAAATTCTTCACCCCATCTATTATTCTAGTAAGGCCCTAAATGAAACACAAAAGAACTCCACTGTGACTGAACAAGAGCTCCTTGCGGTGTTATTTGCTTTTGAAATTTTTTTCTCCTATTCGCTTGGAACGAGAATTATAGTGAATACTGACCACTCCAATTTGAGGTAAATGGCAAAGAATGATGCCAAACCAAGGTTGGTTAGATGGGTGCGACTATTGCAAGAGTTTGATTTTGAGGTGAAAGATAGAAAAGGGTCCAAAAATCAAGTTGGCAATCACTTGTCCAGATTATGGGATGAAGCAATGAGAGAGTTGTGTGAAAAGGCTGAAATTGATGGCACCTTCCCTGATGAGTATTTATTGGCCGCTTCTCATGACTTGATTGTACAGTTCGCCGATTTTGTGAATTATCTGGCTACTGATATAGTCCCATCGGACTTGTCATTCCATCAGAGAAAAAAGTTCATGCATGATGTGAAAAAGTTCTTTTGGGATGAGCCTTTCTTATATCAAAGTTGTGACAATAGGCTTATTCGCTGTTGTATGCCCAAAGTTGAGATGCTAAGTCTTTTGGAGGCATGCCACTCCTCACCTGTGGAGGGGCATCATAGTGGTATCCGGACAGCCCATAAGATTTTGTAGTGTGGGTACTATTGGCCAACCACTCACAAAGATGATCATGAGTTTTCCAAGGCATGTCATAGGTGCCAAAGATATGGAGGAATTTTGAAGAGGCAAGAGCTCCCTTTAAATCCTATTCTAGTGATTGATTTGTTTGATGCACGGGGCATTGATTTTATGGGCCCATTCGTGAGTTCTCATGGAATTAAATATATTCTTGTGGAGGTGGATTATGTGTCAAAATGGGTGGAAACCATATCACTTGTCAACAATGAAGGGAAGAGTGTCACCGCGTTCTTGAAAAAGAACTTCTTCTCCTGATTTGGTACACCCAGGGCCATTGTTAGTGATGAGGGATCTCACTTTTGCAACAAGTTGTTCAAAGGGCTTTTGGAGAAATATGGGGTTCGCCATAATGTAGACACTCCGTACCATCCACAAAGTAGTGGGCAAGTTGAGGTGTCCAACAGAGAAATCAAGCAGATCCTGTCGAAAACGGTGAACGCTAATAGAAAGGATTAGTCAAGGAGGCTTGATGATGCTCTTTGGGCTTACCAGACTGCATACAAGACCCCCATAGGTATGTCTCCGTACCAACTTGTATGTGGAAAGACTTATCACTTACCGGTTATGTTAAAGCACAAGGCCATGTGGGCGATGAAGAAACTAAATATGGATTGGAATGAAACAGTGGAATAGAGACTTAACGGGTTGAATGAGCTTGATGAGTTTCGCCAAAAGCATATCAAAGTTCAGACATCTACAAAGAGAAGATAAAAAAGTACCATGATCAAAAGATTGAAAAGCGAGAGTTTGCGGTTGGGGACTTGGTGCTTCTATTCAACTCTAGGCTACGCTTGTGTCCGGGCAAACTCAAGTCCACTTGGACTAGGCCATTCCTTATTACTGAAATGTTCCCATATAGAGCGGTTGAGTTTGAGAACAAGGAGGGTGCAAAGTTCACGGTTAATGGGTAATGAATCAAGATCTACCTAGGGCATGCAGAGAGTGCCTATGAAGTGGTTGAGGCATATATCATTGATGAAGTCTGAGTAATCAAGGGTCTTTCCTCGTGCCGCAATGTTAAATCAAGCACTTCTTGGGAGGCAATCAAAGGTGTATCCTCTAGCCAACAATAGGTTTTTTCTTTTCTTTTTAAGAACATTTGCATTCTCTTATGTCACTCTTAGTTTAATCATATTCATTTGTTATTTTAGTGTGTTGGCAAGAGAGTAGTTTAGGTTCCGTGTATCAAAAGTTTCCAGAAAAACACACAAAGAATAGTGTAATGGGTGTTCAATGTGAAGGGACCAAACCCATGAATTTTGCAGAAATTGATCTGATGCACAAATCTACAAACCAAATGACGGGCCGTCGTTCAACCGATGAAACGTCTACGGTGTCCGTAGATCCCAGATATGTCTTAAACTTTGGTCTGAATGTCTACACAAGCGACGGTCCAGTCGACAGTCCGTCGACCGGGTATCGTCAGTTCACATAACCAGTAACTCGACCTGAAGCGATAGTCTATATTAAAATTAAACCATTCATCTACCCTCCACATCTTTTTAAATTCCCTCCCAACCATTTCCCTCCCCTTATTCCCTTCCTTCTCCATTAACTCTTATAACCTCACCCTTCCATTTTCTTCAAAACCCCACTGCTCCCAAACCCTCAGAAATCCCAAAACCCTAACCCCCCATTTTCTACTCCGTCTCCTTTGTGTGTTCTCTTGTCGATGTTCGAAAGAGGGCACTCAGGTTGGTGTTGCAATATCACCTACTCACTCAATCCACTACAATTTAAATACATTTCATTTCCTTTTGCTTAATGAATTCTAGTTCATTGTCTTTTGGAAACAAATAGATTGTATATGGATCTTGACTCAGGAAAAAATTTGCATGTTAAACTTGTTAAAATTGGGTTCTAAGTCCCTTCGAATGATAGAAAGTGAATGACTTGGGGATGGAATTTAGGTAAATTCAATATGTTTGTCGATTTTATGTCTTAGGGCTTGATAGTCTCGTAGAACCCGTGTTCGAAATTTTTGAAATCGAAGCCCTAAGGATGAAGAATTCGTCTTATACTTGTTATTATCTGTTGGTTGAACTTGGGATCTGCTTAAAAGTGTAAGAATGTGTTTTTAACACCATGCCCTGAAACCTGTCTCTAACCAACAACATGAGACCCCGTCTACATCGTCGATGTGGTCTGTCGATGGTTAAAATATAAAATGCTTAACTTTGGAAAAACGGAAGTGGACTATTGTCCGTCAATTGATCGACGGGCCATCCTGCACATCCTTCGTTGCTAATGAAACTGTGATTCCGGAGAAATTCTGAATTATTCTAAGTGTCAGATGATGAAAGTTGACTACGGTCCATCCATTAATCGACGAGCCATTCTGCATATCCGTCGTTTCTAACTAAGAGGTCTGTGGAATGCCAACTTCTAATATTTGGTAAGTGTCCACCGATGGACACTATAGGTGGACCGTCGATAGTTACCATCTCCCAATATTGCAATTCTGCACTGGCCTGGGTCTTATGTATCCAGATTCTATTTTGATCATTTCGCTTGTGTAGTTTGATAATATTTAGACTAATGGCCCCGAAACAAGGCCTCGTTTATCAAAGGGGTAGGTCCAAGTCTGTGGCACCTTTCTGATAGTTGATAGATATGTCCGATGATGATCAAGATCAAAAATATGTCCTCCTTGCACCCGGACCCCGACACCAGGTGCTAGAGACACTTGAGGAACCACCAAGATGGTGGCGTTTGATATAGTTACCGCCTCCCGGTCTGATGAGGAGCGCAGACTAACCGACACACTATCTAGGTCTGCCTCAGGTTCTGAAGGAGCATCCGGCTCTAAGGACGCTTCAGGTTAAGAGTCGGCCCACTCCAGGGGTCGAATGAGGCCACTACCTCCGGTTCCGGATCACAGGGATCCACTCTCCCAGATTTGCCTGCTCGCAATGCCTTGTCAGATGAGGCCCAGAGTTCGGAGTGTGCTCCAACATAACGGCATGAGGTTCCTACATCGGTTTCTGATAATCCCAGTCGGTGGTGCTTAGATAGCCAGTACCCAGTCTACAGGGATTCGAAGGTGTTAAATAATAAGGAGGTGATGAATCGGTTGGTGACAGTCGAGCGGTGTGTTCTTAAAGGTAGCCTATTCACACAGTCCCTGAGGTGCATAACTTATTCACCCATCATAGGCTCGAGTGGATGGCGAGGAGTATAGGGTCCTATAGTGAGGAGACTGTGCGAGATTTTTACGCCTCATTTGTAGCGACACTCCAATGTGGTCGCCAAATATGACCCACTCATAGATATTATAGTTTAAGGCTATCGGGTGAACATTTCTCCAACTTCCATTCGCCGCTTCCTGTACGGTTGATCCACTTATGTCGCGAGGGTTCCCCTCACTCCAGAGTTTGACTACAGGTGAGAGTTGTTCAAGAGTGTCCAGTTTCAGCTGAGCAGAGATCAGAGAGAGTCCACAAAGAGATGGATTGCACAACAACTCTTCATTGACGGTGAGGGAGGATACTGGATGTTGGACCCAGAGGCCTTATCAAGAAGGTCAACCTCACCTTTGCAGCCATGTTCTTCTGGTTGTTAGTTCGCCACCGCCTTTCTCCCACGATAGTAGATAATATCTTTACCTGGATAGAGCGGTCCTTGTAGTAGCATGGTAGCCAGGTTAGAGTTCGACTTCGTGAGGTTTTTGATCTCCATGATACATAAGAGGGCCTTTAAGAACTCTACCACTTACTCGTTCGCCTGTATGATATTCTAGTTGTGCAAGGATGCAGGAGTGACCCTCTAGCACTCTAAAGTCATTCGTACTCTGACCAAGATTATGGATATGGGTCTCATTATGGATGAGGCCAATGTGGTGGCTCCACGACGAGGGCCCAGAGTTGATTTGCAGCCTCTGAGTGAGAACTTGCGGATACTATAAGCAAGCCCAAGGGGATCATCCTGCCACTTCAAAGCCAATTGATACCACCCCATCCGATTCTGCCCCTGGCACTAGTAGGGAACCTAGTTACTCCCGGTCTACACCACCATCAGCAGCAGTGGTCCCGATTGGTAGGGTCAAAAAGCTAGATGCCCAGATGGCCACCTTGTTGCATCATATCCAGCCTTGGATGCAAAAATCCATTGACGAGGCTGAGGACCGGATTGAGAAGACGATGGCTCAGTAGA